ATAAAAAAACACTAATAACAACAATAAAAATAAACCTGGTGCCTCTGTTGCTGCCAATTCAGCCAATAGGCGTCGGTAACGATGGAGACAACAAATCCAGCAGCGACAGCAGCAGATGAATTTTCATCATCATCATCACTATACAATCAATAATATTAATAGTAATAATATTAATATTAATATTAATAATTATAACAATAGTATCAACACTAATAATTATGGACCTTGGTCCTTGAAATTTGGTTTTTTTTAATTTGTATATCTTTGTTTTATAAATAATTAAATATTATTGTTATCATTATTATATGAAATTTTAAATCAGAATGACCGCATGGGAGGTAATACTTGCCCCAAAGCTTTTATGAGCTTAGATAATGATGATTATGGCTACAGTGGGTTCCAAACTCTCCTATCATCACAAACCAACCCCGTAAGAAAATGTATTTGCTACACTGTAAGAGGTATTGCTTATAACATTACATAGTTGTGCATAAAGATGGCTCCTCAATTAATTGCCCGAAACGTTTCGGAAAATGAACTTACACTAAGCAGAAAACTAAACCTAAAACCAAAACTAAAAAAATCTAAGCATAAACTACTAACCTAAACTGGTTTCTGCTTCGGGTCACAACACTGATTGTGATATATGAAAATTGAATTGCAGCTAATTGCAGTTCCTATTACTATCTTTAGTTGTGCAATGTGTTTTTAAAAAAGCGAGTTTTTTATAATATAAATTATTAAAATATCTTCTTGAAAAAAAAATCATCTAAATTAAAAAAATATCCAATGGTTTGTATCGATACTTTTTTAATTATTATTATTATAAAGAAACTGTGATAAGCATGATTAATGCTGAAAACCAGAAAAGATGGATGTTAATAAATCGAGCGCTCTCGTTACAAATTATTAGCATTAGTGATAATCCAATGTTGTCAAATCTCTCTACCAATTAATTACACGCCAAAAGCAATTACATATAAGTTTATACACCAAATTTTAGTGTAAAAGTGTTTATATTATTGTTTCTAATTTAAATTGATTTTGTTTACAGGATCTTTATAAATAATAGAAAACCAGAAATCATCCCGTTAATGTTCCTCTACGTGAAAGTGTTTGGGTAGAGCCAAAGGAAGAATTACTAAAAGTGGTTATCCATGCCGTAATAGTAAATTAAGTTGTTTATCGGGTATCTTATCATTGTAATAAATTATAATTTAGAGTTAAACTTTGGAAAAAAATTTTAATAATATAGAGCATGAAAACCAAAAAGAATAAATTTATTTAACAAAATTACTATTCCACAATCTAAACTTGCACTTTGATGAAGAGTCTCCATAATGCAATTAACTCTGCTTTCAAACAAAATAAATCGATTTATATTTTTTATTAAATCAACTCATCATAATAAATTCTTTTGAATAAATTCGCCCAATTCTTTTTTTTTATTTAATGTTCAAATATAATTATAAAATCATTTGTCATTTATTTGTAAGCTACAAATATTTCAAGTTATCGAATTAATCACAGAATCATTTCTTTGCTAATGTACGTAAATCTAAAACTTTTGCACTTAAATTGAATTGCTTCTAAATTGAATATAATAGTTTTTGACTTTAAACGTTGCTCCTTTTTTGTTTGCTGGAACCAATTCAATTAATTAAAATTTTAATATCTTATTGAAACTTTATTGCAGAATGTAATATAATCGTTTTATTTAAATCATTAAAGTTACGTAGCTATTCCAAAGCCGGGTATTCTAATGTAAAAGAAAAAACAAATGAAACTTGGGAGAAGTTTGATTTTACCATTTTTGTTAAAGAATTGAATTTTTTGTTCGAGATCCAGTCCATTCACCCATATAGTTCAACACGCTTATATAAATATATCAATATCGTAGCTGATCTAGATCTCCTCGATTAGATCTGCGAATAGGACAAAATTTAGGACAAGTCCAATAAAAAAAATATATTTATTATTATTAAAAAAAAAGTCATTGTCTGAAGATCTTAATAATGATTTTTCAGAAGAAAATTTTCCAACTCGTGAGTTTTGGTAGATGGATAATGAAGGATTGATTAATCGATGATGGTGGATTAATTATGATTTAAATAATGTTTAATATTAAGAATTTTCAACTTGTTCAAAAAACATCTGAAATTTGGAATTATTCATCATAAACAAAATCCAATATATGTAGTAAATGTAGAATTTCATTTTCAATTAAAACTGGAATTTCTACTATTTTAAGACACTTAAGAATCAACGTAAATTCATCTAAAAACATTCTACATACCAAACAACATTGCAAGAATTAATCTCCATACTGACTTGGAACAAAATAAGCGAGATAAAACATTAATAAATTGATTAATATGCGACTTACAACCAGGCCAAAGTGTTCCATGTGAACAGACATTTTCAGTAGCAGGAAATACCATTACTAGAACAAGAAACAGGCTAAATCCTGAAACAGTGAAAGCTATACTCTAAAAAGTTGGATAGAAAATGGTATCCTAGAAAATAAAATTGATGTTTGATTTTTAATATTTTTTTTTGGTAAAGATTTTATTATTTAGTATAAAAAAATTTGCTAAAAAAATTATTTGCTACTCATATGATAAACATTTTTGATCTTTATTGGTCAGGACTGGGACCAGGACCGATTTTTCCATGTATTCTATCTGTTATTATTATTCTATTTCAAGAACCTTTTATTAATATAGGATCAGCCTTTTTCAAATTCTTCATCACTAGTATCCTTTGTTCCAATACCAACACTATAACCCATTTTTTCTGTTATTCAAAAATTTTTCCAATAGCTCTAAATTCTACTATTTCCCTTGAGCAGTTGCAAACATTCATCCCAATCACAGACTTACTTTTTAATATGTAATTGAGATTGTTATTTGACATTTATTTCTTTCTTGTATTCTTAGGTTTATATAAATAAGTTACATCATCTAAATAATAAGACCGTGCGAAAAGGAAATAATAATGCAAGTCTGCTCATTCATACAAATAAATAAAGTTTTCTCAAAATTATATTTATATTACTTCTTGGTATTTTTATCAAGTCTAAGACGACGAGCTGTATCAATATTCCGCGAAATATCTTCAAGAAACACATAATCTATAAAATTTATAAATCATATTTATAAATCATATTTATCAATAATCACTATCGGTGATATTTTTCTTTCAACTTACCACTCATTAAATCTTTATATCCATATTTTTCTATATCAATGTAAATAGTCTTTTTACGAACACCATCACATCCAAACTTTACTTTATGCTCTTTAACACATCCCAATGAACAAGTTTTCATTTCACATTTTGGACATTTATATTTCCAGTTTTCGAGCTTGCACAGTTGGCATTGCTTCTTATTATTGGTGCTATTTGATGATGATGATGATGATGATGATGATGATGATGTTGTTGTTGTTGTTGTTGTTGTTGTTGTTGTTGTTGTTGTTGTTGTATGAGCTTGTTGTATTACAGTTTTATTATTGTCATCAACTATAAAAAAATTTATTTAGTAACTAACTACTAGACTACTTTAAATAATAAATATTTTTATATTTTGATACCTTGGTCTGTAGAAAAGTCTTGTAAAATAAGATCAAGAGGATCAATGAAAGTAGTGTAGTCGGTCATTTTTTGGAATTGAAAATCAAAAAAAAATTTTCGTCATCTATTTTTCGTGTAACATTAAATTTATATTGTTTGACTAAATGTTTCCATATTGGGATCAATGTAAAATCCATGGATTTATTATTGCTGTTATTATTGTTCTATTTCAAAAGGTAGTGTTTTCATAACTGTTGAAAATTTCAACCTAAAATTGCTTTGTTTTCCTTCCATCTTCACACCAAAAAGTTTACTAATAAAATGTCGATGGAATTTTTGATCTTTTCTGATCTAGCTAGACTTACAATATATGAAAGAGTATATGTGCAAAATTCAATATTAATACTCATTATTACACTTTACCCAGTTATTATCAACAGAACCCAATTCAACGCGGAAGCCATGAACCTACGAAAAATGGAACCCAAATATTTATATACAAACATTCGTCAAGAGAATTCTCAGAATTCTTGCAATTAGATTTAATAATTAACATTATATTATTATTCAATATTTACATCTTTACATAAAACAACCTTTTCTGGATTAAATAATTTCATATAAAGTTCATGCTGAAGAAGCATAATCATTAAATAAACAAACATCTATTCGATTAAGACGTGATTAAACAGTTGGTCAACTTTAATCATTAGCAATTCCATAACCAACAACGTTGGAAGTCTCGCGAAAAGTGTGAGCAATAAAAACAAAATCTTACTGGGAGTAAGCATAAAGATAAAAACAATTTAAACTATAAATTATCAGACAACACGTGAGATTACAATCTCGCAATACATTTACATATATTATTGTCTTATTATTGAATTCTTATGAATTAAATTATCACAACAACAAATTAACCTTTTTGCACACCCAATCACCATTACTTATCTTCTTGTATTTCAAAGGCACCATAATCAAATATATCAAACTATTTCGTTTTACAGCTGCAACGCAAACCTTTCATTTAAACTTTACTCGCTTGATAAATATATATTTAATTAATGTATCTAATAGAACCCAATTCACAATATATTAGTCAAATCCACTAACGAATCACGTATATGTTGTCCAGTTTTTGCATTCCACATGCATAACCTTACATTTGAACCTACTATTATTTATCTTTATCATGTTGAAAACATTTTATTGTATGTGTGGTTATTACGTGTTTTCATGTTCCATTATCAGGGTTCCATACACGAAGACTATAGTGAGAAGCAGGGGTAACTACTGTAGAAACAAGATAATTATGAGAAAGATAAAGCAGCCTTAAATCATATTAAAATATTTTGACAATTATGTTGAATACAAAGAAAATAATAATAACATATTTTCTAACGTTCACAAGTTTGTACCATTTTCTATGCTCCAGATTTTAACTGTTCCGTCACTGTTTCCACTCATACACCTTTTATGGTTGACATCCAACGCAAATGAATAAGCTTTTCTTGCATGACCTCTTAGAAACCGAATATTACTATTAGTAATAACATTTTATACTCTTACAGTATGATCGTGGCTGCCATTTACTAATGAATATATTTCCTACACCAGCTAAAGCATGAACGGAATGATTGTAGGGATAAAGGGTACGAATATTATTATCAAATTCTGATTGCGATGAAGGTATGTATGATGGGTCAACCTCAAGATTTGGTAATCGCCAAACTTTTATTGTAAAGTCTTTTGAACCAGTAATGATCAAATTTGAACTAGAATTAACATTTTGTGGTTGGATAGTCAAAAAGACACCCGACAGCATCTGCATGACCCAAGAACATACAAGTATATACACCTTTCTCAAGGTCCCACACGCGAATTGTATTATTAATATATCCAGAAACCAGTATTTTATCAATATATTGTAGAAAATTAACATATTTACATATAGCTTTCAATAGAAACAGTTTTAATTTTTTTGCAAACAGATGAATTTTGCAGGAGAAATAACAGTTTAAAGTTTTCCCGAATTTGAAGTTTTCAAATTGTTGTTTCTCCCCCATTTTCAATAATAGAGGCGTTAAATGTGTGCGTAAAGATAGTAAATAGATAATATTTTAAAAATCCAGAGAGTTATTTACATTTTAAAAAGTTCAATATTATAAAGTATTCATTCGAAAATTTCCTTTATTGCAATACTTTTTGTTCTATTACATACAACTTTCAAAAAAAAACAGAAAATTAACATTCTCTCTGTATCACCACTACACCACATTATAGTTTTCAATTGAAACAATTTAATTTTTTTGCAAACAAATGAATTTTGCAGGAGAAATAATAGTTTTAAATTCAACGCGCTAAAAATAATTTTTTTTTCACAATTTTTTATCATACAGGAAAAACGGGGTCAGCCATGACAAAATCCACACATATAGATTTATATTAATTAGTATTAGATTTGTCAAACACAAGTTAAAGTAGTTGCCCACCTACTAATAAGCACATATGTGCAATTTATTTATTAATAATGAAATTAAAATTAAAAGGCGGGGAAAAGATTGGTCACGATGTCTATGCATGTGGGAAAAGTTTTCATAAGAAATTATTTGTCTATGTATTTTAAAATATGTATAAAATAAATCCTAAATAAATAAAACTAACAATTCGCAAAAAAAAAAAAAAAAGATTTGTCAAACAACCAATATCAAATATCCCATTATGTTTGTGCAAATTTTCTAAATTTTCTGGGTATTTCATTTCACTTCACAATTGCTAAACAGTATAAGGGATGGTTTTATAAAAAATTTTAATAATCGGTTAATGTTTCTATTCTCTCAGTTTCTTTAAACTCGGCCGCAAATCTAACATCTTCCGGCCTCACCAAACTCCTCCCCGCATGTGCTGCACACCTACCACTAAAGTAACAATAAATTGATCAAAAGAAAAACAACAGTTAATGAAAACGTCACAAATATATTTTAAATTATCGGTTTTCATACATACGCATCCCTAAACAGCCCCATCACCCCCCTTTCTGCTGTCTGTTTTAAATATTAAAATGATTATTAATATTTTACCAGTATGAGAAATTTTCAATCATTTAGTTAAAGAAAAAAAAAATATACCCTCACAAACGACAACCCTAGCCTGGCCTCCTCTCCAATTTCTCTGACCAACCTCTCAAAGGCCCTCCTACTAATTGAAAATCTCCTTTCTCGGCTCTGTAATATGAATTACTCACCAAACTAAATGAATCAAATGAATCAATTATTTCAAACAAATTACTTGACACATTAAAAATAATAAAAGATTGTACCAGTTGTGCACAAAGATATAATTATTATTATTTATTTTATGAATCATTAAACAAACTAAAAAAGATTTCAGAAGAATTAGACAAAGAAGAAAATGAGGATAGGAAAGCAGAAATAATTCATCAATTAAATGATGAATTAAATGAATTAGATGTTGAAATAAATATAGTATTATGTGATAGTTGTCAAAAGAAGAATATATTAAATCCATTATATGAATTACTCACCAAACTAAATGAATCAAATGAATCAATTATTTCAAACAAATTACTTGACACATTAAAAATAGTAGAAGATTGTACCAGTTGTGCACAAAGATATAATTATTATTATTTATTTTATGAATCATTAAATGAACTAAAAAAGATTTCAGAAGAATTAAGAAAGAAAGAAAACAAAGATAGGAAAGCAGAAATAATCCATAAATTAGGCAATGAATCAAATAAATTAGATGTTGAAATAAATAGATTAAGATTATGTGATGGGTGTCAAAAGGAGAATATATTTGACCCATTATGTGAATTGCTCACCAAATTAAATGAATCAATCACATCAATTAATTCAAACAAATTACTTGACACATTAAAAATAATAGAAGATTGTATTGATTGTAAAAAATGTGCACAAAAAAATTATTTTGATTTATTTTATGAATCATTAAACAAACTAAAAAAGGACTTGGAAGAATTAGAAAAGGAAGAAAATGAAGATAGGGGAGCAGAAATGATCCATAAATTAAGTGATGAATTAAATGAATTAGACTTTCTTCTTTTGAAAGAAGAAGATCTCTGTTATATTGGATTATCTCTTGGTCCAGCTAAAAGAATAGCACAGTTAATTAAGGAAATTTCAAGAACATCTTTAATAGATAAGCCATCTACTAATCTTGACACATATTTGTTGATAACTCAAACATCTGGATTGAGGGAAAGTATACTGTTGGCAGCCTTGAGCAGTTAGGTACCTATGATTTTGACAGAGATTCTATTATTTTAGACAGCTCAAGATTGACTATGGTAAGCTTCTCACCACAGTTCAGTGCGGACGTAAATTAGGTGGTGCACCATTCTTGATCGGTTCTCGACCACCGCCTAATGACTCATTGTGGTCATACATTAAGGATCAAGGGTTTGAGGTGAATGTGTTTGATTGGGACATCACAAGCCATCGTGAGAAGGAGGCTGATATAGAACTTGCGTTATCAGTAGCAGAAACGATCACATTAAATGATCCTGGTATTTTAATTATTATTGCTGGCGATAGAGACTATAAACCTGTAGTAAAACGGGCACTGGAACTCAATTGGACTGTGGAGACATGGTTTTGGAATTTAGGTATGCAAATGTTATGTTCGAAGTCATGTGAATTTTTAAATTGCATTATTTGAAATATCCTGTCTTCTATAGGTGCCTCTATTAGCCTTAAATCAAATACAATTTTTTGTCCTCTGGATAATTGTTATCGATCCTTCTCATATGGATTAGGACCTGACCCCAGTGAGAAGAACCAAGTCCTTGAAATTACTGATGGCAACCTCATTCGAAGTTTGAAAAATGAAGACATATTAGAATGGTTTAATACTTTAAACTTGTTCGGTTGGTGGGAATGAGATGGTTATATGGCCGTGCGATTTTACTTTAATAATTCGGAAAACTTGGAAGTGGTAAAAAATTGGATCCTGCACAATTATCAGGAAGTACGAGTCCAAGAAAAAAATTAAGGGAAAAAGATTTTTTAATCAAATATCTGTTTTTCAACCTGATTACAGAACACATTTTTGTTCATATCAGGATGCAGTATCCAGACATTTACCTTATCATATCTTTGATTATCCACAAGAAGATATGAAAGCTAATGATCAAATCAAAATAAAAATTTTTATTATGAATAAATAATAATCAATATAAATAAATTTAGCAAATAAATCTCTATTAAATTTATTTTATTATCATTACTGTTAGTGTTATCATTATTATTATTGACTTCCATTTTTTTATATTAAATGTATTAAAGTGCATCGTAACGTTCCAATGACTTTAATTGGATTTGGATTTGGAACGCCGATCATTCCAAACACTTCAAGAAATAGTCTAGCAAGAACTTGGGAAGCTAGCCCGTCGTCGAAATTATACGAATAAAAAATAATCTATGAAATAGACATGCCTTGGATTCTCCTGCCCTCTCACCAGGGATTATGACGCTCTGTAATTATGGAGCCAACATGCAATTATTTCTTCGATTTGATTAGATATTAACTAACGATGCAATCTAACTTATTTATATTCAATCTAGTAGAGTTGTTAGAACTGATTCTATATTATCTAGCAAATGGTAAGGTACTCTGTCCTGTCCTATTTGTCAATAGGCCCATCAAGTGAATCTGATTCATCCAATTCTGAATTATCCAGCCTGAGCCCAATTATCTGATTCCAGCCCCAAAGGACTGGGACAAAGTTCCAAAAATAAACAATGCAGTAAAGTCTCTCATATAAGCCCGGTATAGCTATGAAGAAAAAAAAGTATCCCATCATATTCGAAAACATCGCAAAAGTAAGCCTCGCAGTAAATCATTGCATTAATATACACCTATTGTCCAGATCATGTGGGTTCCGAATTATAAGATGCCAAGAATAAAAAAGACTAATGTATTTTTGACATGTGATGGTATTGTAAAACAGGACCGAAATGGATTCATCCAAATAAAAAGGGATGTAACTTCTATATCTTACCTTGATTAAATATCATGAAATATCATCATCAATCGCCCATTGAAAAACACCTAAATTGACGTATGTCAATTATTGTGATATTCCATAGGAAAATTTGCCCTACAACTGATTATTTTATTATTCGAATGATAAAAGAGGTTAATGTATTTTTGACATATAAAAATTCTCTGGGCAAAACATAAAAAGGGATATAGATTACACAAGTTACTTGCTTTTGTTAATTATCCGATAATAAAAGTTCATATAGTTGTTTGATTTTATTAAGTATCTGATAATAAAAGGTCCTGTATGTTGTATGAAAAATCATAATCATCACCAGATATTTGCAATATAACAATAAAAATACGGTTAGAACTTCTTAATTGTTGGTAATTTCTTGACGTAAAGTCAAAATTCTATTTTATGGACGCATGATTTTTCAACAAAATGGTTATATTAATTACTTCTGATATCATGGAGTCATACCCCTATAACCCTGGATCAAACCTTACGAGGTTTTGATATCTCCATGTGTTTTTTCATTCGTTATAATACATCATTATCACACTAGTTAACACTTATAAAAGATTGCTCAAAACCCGTAACACTGCTTTTTTCCTTACTTGGGATAGATTGTATGATTTTGGTTTTGATCTACTATTTTTTTTTTTTTTGTAAATTAAATTTGTTGTTTGCCTATATTATTTGTAAATAAACAGTGGTACGGGAAATAAGACGTTGTAGAAGAGTGATCATTATACATGAGCGAACGAACGAACAGATCAAACAGATCGAGTGAG